GTAAATTTCTGTTTCCTTACTTTAATATTAATGTTGGTGGCATAATTCAGTTATGCTTCTCATCTCTACCATTTCATGTATGGGGTGACAGAAAATGGCCCCCAACTCCTTTTAGCAACTGTGATTGCAGGATGAATTGACTTTGGTGGAAATTTGTAAAGTTTTGGACAGCTCAGGAATCCTTTAGTCTAGATCAGGGATTTCTTAACCTGGGATTCCTGAACTTTTTTTTTTTTAATTTTGATAACTGCATTTTAATATGATTAGTTTCCTTTATAATAATTTATTTTAATCTGAGGTGTCCATAGGCTTCATTGGCCTGCTAAAGGGATCTGTGTTACAAAAAAACGTCCATGACTCCTGGTCTAGAACCTGATTGCCCCCACACACACACCTCAGATATAATATGCATATCATTATAGACGCATACTTAGAAGAAATTGTGGGTTTGGTTCTAGACCACTGCAATGAAGCAAATATCACAACAGAGTCACACAAAGTTTTTGATTCTCCTGTGCATATAAAAGTTATGTTTATCCGAGAATAAAGTCTATTAAGTGTGCAATAGTATTATGTCTAAAAAATGTACATACCTTAATTTAAAAATACTTTATTGCAAAAAAAAAATGCTAACCAACATCTGAGCCTTCAGTGAGTCATAATCTTTTTGCTGGTGGAGGGTCTTGCCTCGATATTGATGGTAGCTGACTAATCAGGGTCATAGTTTGTGAAGGTTGGGTTGGCTGTGACAATTTCTTAAAGTAAGACAATGATGAAGTTTGCCACCTCAGTTGACTGTTTTTTTCACAGGAATACTTAGAGGCCATTATAGGGTTATTCATTGGCCTACTTTCAATATTGTTGTATCTCAGGGAATAGGAAGGCTGGAGGAGAGGGAAGAAAGACAGGGGTACAGCAGGTCAGTAGAACAGTCAGAACACACACAACATTTACCAATTAAATTTACCCCCTCCAAAAAAAACCCAGTTATAATAGTAATATCAAAAATTACTGATCACAGATCACCGTAACAGATCAAATAAGATTTAAAAAATTTGAAATATTTTAAGAATTACCAAAATGTGACAAAGAGGCGTGATTGTGAGCACATGCTGTTGGGAAAAATGGTGGCAATTGACTTGGCTTGCTCATCACAAACCTTCAATTTGTAAAAAAAGAAAAAACAAAATGAAAAAACAAAACCAGCTATATCTGTTGTACCTAAGTCCCTAGCTGTGCCCCTGGGCTGGTCTTGTTAGTCATTTTTTCTTTCTAAACAGTCTCCTTTAAAAATGCAAATGCCTCTGGAAAGGATTGATATTCTAACACTTTATCAGTTAACACCTTAACTGAGATTAAATGACTTGCCAGTCTGAGCCAGCCGATGGATGATAGGGAAACAAGGGGCTTCAAACAAATTTTACCTGAAAAACTTCTGTTTAGGATTTAATTTACTGACGGTATTTTCATTGGACCATAACTTGCTCACTGTAATTGCCTTCTGGCCATCCTTCTACTTGAAAGTTCATGTCTTTAAAATAAGATCAATGTACTAGGCTCAATGCATTGCATTTTCAAGAAAGTTTTTCTTACTTGTAAAGTTCCCAAAAGAGGGATAGAATTGATCCCAAGCACAAGGGATGGGTTTAGTTTTGGCAAGGAGAAGGACCACTCCTCCTCCTGAGCTTGCAGCAAAGAGGGGAGGATACTCAGGATGGCCTTTTGTTTCTAATTTCTGTTTATATCCAACTTCTCAGAAACCTTTTGATTATGTAAAGTAACAACTACCCTTACTTATTTTCTTATTCTTTGCTGCCATCGTGTGGTTGTTGGCCGCCTTTCTAAAGCTATACTGTATTTGGTTCTTAATGTCTTAATTCCTGAGCTGTCCAAAACCTTAAAAATTCCCACCAAAGTCAATTCATCCTTAGACTTCCTTAATGTTTAAGATTAATCATTAAGCTAGTGTTTTTAAAATTTTCTCTCTTGATTTATTCTGACACCTTGGTTGGAAAAAGATGTCTTTTCTCTGAAAATGAAGTAGAATCAAGCAGGAAATAGCAGTTCGGTACCTAATATACACACCTAGATGTGTGTATCTAATATCCAAATATTGGATTACAATATCCAAAAGTTTTCATAAAGGTTAAAACTTCACAGGGGCAGCTAGGTGGTACAGTGGATAGAGCACTAGCCCTGGAGTCAGGAGGACCTGAGTTCAAAGGCAGCCTCAGACACATAACACTTACTAGCTGTGTGACTCTGGGCAAATTACTAATTGCCTCGCCAAAAACAAACAAAAAACCCCTTCACTAAGAGTTTTGAGATGCCCTGTATAATACACACATATACATGTGCGTTTGTGTGTATACACATATGTCGCATATGTGTATATACACAAACATACATATGTTCTCTCACAAAAGGGCTTAAAAGAGTAGTGAAAGCAGTTAAATAAACCGATGATGGCATAAATAGATTCAGAAATCTTCAGGTTATGATTGTCTCTCTTTTACCATAAAATTTTTACTTTTCAATATCAGATTCATATTTTTAGATCTGAAAAGAATATTAGACTATGAGACTTAGGTACCAGTCCTACCTCTTCCAAGAACATGTGGTTCTTCTGGGCCTCACTTTTCTCATCTATCAAGATAAAGGGCTATTTTAGACGATCACTAACATCCCTTTGAGGGCAATCATTCTGTGATTTTTATATAATCTTTTGTTGTGGATAAGGGATTCCAAAAGGGAGTAGTGACAGAGTGGAAAGAACATTGAATTTTGAGTCAGAACACCTGGGTTTAAATCTGCTTACTATTAACTATGTGACTTGAGGGAAATTTCTGGACTTTGTTTTTCTTTTCTATAAAATAAGGAGGTTGACACTTCTCCACTAAGACCCCTTCCCAACTCTAAATTTTTGAGTTTATGAAATACTGCAACTAGAGTAAGACATGGATTTCTGAACGTGGCCAGTGTAGGAATTTGTTTTGCTTCCCTACATTTGTTATAAGGGCTTTGTTTTTCTTTTTTACTCTGTATTGGAGGTTTGAAGTGGGGAGATGGAGAAGGAGAAGTAGGAAGGAAAGAAAATAAATGCTAATTAGTTGAAAAAAATTATTTCAAAAAAGAAATACTGTATCTAATGTCAGAAATAAACAAGCACTATGGGTTATAGCTTCAATTTCTGTTTTCCCTAGCAGTAATACAGTTACCTTTAAGCTTCACTCGAGGTGTTTGGCCTCTGAGGCTGTGTTCAAACCAAATGATATAGTTGTATTAAGATTAATCATTAAGCTAGGGGTAGTGACTGGCTCATACCTATATCCCCTGAAATTAAGGAGGCTGAGGTTGGTGGTTTGCTTGAGCTGAGGAGTTGTGAGATTGAGTGGGTTAAAGCTGATAAGATATTTGCATTAAGTCTGCACCAATATGGAGAGCCCCTGGAAACAGGGGACGGAGGACAAGGGGACGCCTCGGGAGGGATTATAGGGGGAAGGAAGGAAGGAAAGAATAGTCGTTAAATATGATTACTTAAAATCTCTTGATAATTTTGATTATATCTATGTCCTTATATAGATAATAACTGAATTATATTTTACTTCTAGCAATGAAGTACTAACTGGTTATAAATGAGAAAATGGTTGAAAATCCCTTTGTAGATTAGGGGCCATTCAAATTTCCTAAGCCTGTAGACTCTGTGCCCATTGCAGCCGGATATGCAGAAGGAGGAGGTGGTTCCTACTTTCAGAGGGCTTACAGTCTAATTGGACAGACAAGAAATGTATGTGTGTGGGGCAGCTAGGTGGTGCGGTGGATAGAGCACCAGCCCTGGAGTCAGGAGGACCTGAGTTCATATGTGGCCTCAGACCCATAACATTCAGTAGCTTTGTGACTCTGGGCAAGTCACTGAACCCCAATGGCCTCACCAAAACAAAAACAACAACAACAACAAAAAGGGGTGTGTGTGTGTGTGTGTGTGTGTGTGTGTGTGTGTGTTATGTCTGTATACCCATATATGTTATGTATGTATATATACACACAAAGAGACACATACATATGTACACACAACCACATGTACATTATGTATATGCATATATGCAAAACAATTAGAGAATAATTCAAGACAGCAGATACACCAGTTCAAGATATTCTGTTAAAGTCTATGTACATACATAGAATTCACAGAATTAAGAGAAGGAGAAAGATTATTGTGAATAGAAGATAGGTAGCCTGGTTCCTTTCAGCACTTGAAGGAGGTGGGTTTTGAGCTGGGCTTTGAAAAAAGTGTAAAATTTGGATTTGGCATGGAATGAGCATGGCACACATGAGGATGACAAGGAGGCTGGCCTGCTGGGAGTAGTGGGAGAGAAGTCTAGACAAATGACAAGTGTATGTGCTGTTGGGGAAGGTACTTAAATACCAAACTGAAGAGTAAAATCTTGATTTGATAAGCAATAAGGAGCTGTTATAGGCTCTCAAATGAGGAAATGATGTGGTAAAAGTGATCCTTTAGGAAAATTAATCTGGAAGGATTGGAAGGAAGGACTAAGATCAAAGCACCCATTTAAGAAATTATCATAGTAATGATCTTAGCCCAAAGGCACTGAAGTCCAAATACCAATGCCTCTTCACATTGTGGCAGTAGCCTTGGGTCCTTGACTGCAGTGTTGGCAGTAGAGCAGAAATTCCAGCAGGCCTTACCACCGAAGAAAAAGCTTTGAATGTGGTCCTAGCAATACGCTGTGTGTTTGTCCATTTGAAGACTAGCCTGTCTAACTCTGGGGAGGCTTATCACCCAAGGGTTTGCCACTGGGGATGACTTTTTTTTTTTAACTGTAGCAACTCATAAGATTATCTACCAAAGTACAGAGGAATTTCTGATGTATACTGGTAGAGGGAATTTCTGACCCTGATGAAATCCTGTATCTTTTGAGGTATTGAAGAAGTGATGATTTGTTCTCTCTTAGAAATGCAAATTGTCTCTTTCCTTGCAGGTAATGTACAGAAGAATCCTGCAGCAGGCGGGGTTTATACAGTTTGCACAGCTTCAGTTCCTAGAAGCTAAAGAACTCTTCAGGTAAATTGGAATGTTGGTGTTAAAGCTATCATCACCTTGATCCTCCTGAAAAAAAAAAGTAGGTTATGCTCTTCAAGGTCAAAAGATCTTTCTAGAATATAATGCTGTAAGACAAATAATAACCAGAGTTATCAGTAGGAATTCTAGCCTCTAGGGCAAATTCATTTGAGGGGAAATCAAGATGCTGAAGCCTCTGCTGGGGAGGTCACCACATGCCTGCCGTCACTGCTATCCCTGGCTGTATGTGGCATAGGTCCCCAGGCCTAGCACTTTACAACAGGCAAGTCCAGCCAGGAAAGGTGAGGGAGAGTATAGAACATGACTGGGAAAGGGCCACAAGGCCCAGAACTGCCAGAGGGAACAGCATATCCTCCCCTCATTGAGGTGCAGCTCCCTCGGGCAAAATTCCACTGACCCTGGGCTAGTTGTGGCTCTCATGATACCATTATATTATGTACATCAAATAGAAATGTCAGTTATTGCTTCTGAATTAGTGCTGATCATTTGACTTACATCTCCTCACTCTCCAACTTTAATTAGAGTGAAATTCGAGGAGCAAGCTCTGGCAATTTCTGTGAAGGGAAGGGTTTTGAGGTTGTTTAACCTGTCAAAAAAAAAATCAAAAGGATGACCTTCATAATTCTTAATAATAGATGAAAGGTTCCTGGGAGGACACTGACCACATGCTCTCTGAAGTGGAGAATGTTCTGAATTTGGAATCAGGGGTCCTGCTTTCTGATCCTGACTCTATTACTTAATTATCCATGTTGTCACTTATGTTGTCACTGAATCTCCCTATATATTAGTTTCCCTGTCTGTAAAATGAATCTGAGATCTCTTCTAGCTCTAAATCTATGATGCTATGCACTTACACTTCTATAGCGCTTTACATTTAGCCAAGTTCATGCCTCACAGTGACCCTCTGAATAGGTAATACAAGGATTATTATAATAATCCCCATTCAACAGGTGAGGAAAAAGCTCAAGAGGCAGAAGTGGAGCTTGAACCTGGGTCTTCCAAATCCAGAGCACTTTCTCTTAATGCTACTTTTATTCTTTCTGTAGAAAATTGAACAAGAAGAGGTTAGTTGGTTAAACATAAGTACTAGAACAGGCCATTAAGGAGGATTTGGGAATTGATTTCTATAAAGTGACTTTATAGGATCATGGGATCATAGTTTTAGAATTGAAAAGGACCTTAGGAGTCTGAGTTCAATCCCCTTTTTTTTTTTTACAGACAGGGAAACTGAGTCACAGAAAAGTTAAGTGATTTGCCCAAGGCAACATAGCTAGTAATTATCTGAGGTAGAATTCAAACCCAGAGTTTTCTGACTCTCACATCTGTGCTCTCTCTACCATGCTGCCGTTCCTGTCCCATTAAAAAAAAAATGAGGAAAGACTGCTTGTCTTAAATTCTTGTCCTGTTCTCTCAGAGATACAGTCCATCTTTATAATTAATCCCTCTTCAAAGGTATAAATTCTTTCCTCCTGCCCTCCCTCCCTCTTCTTCCTTTCTTCCTCCTTTTCTTCTTTTTCTTCTTTCCTGGGAAGGGGGACTACATGTGCATCACTTCCTCATAGCCGGCACTTTTCACTTTCCCTGTCCTGTGAGCTCAATGGGATAGCAGCAGCTTTGCATACTTTCTTTTCACCCAGGTTACAAAGAGACAAAAAAGGAGACCTACTACATTTTTTAAAGTGTTAAAAGACAGTCGCCTATAGAATAGATTTGTGGTTTTCCTTCTAATACTGGTATGTGATATGGCTGCTGCTGCTGCTATTAACAATAACTGACAGCATTGTAAAGTTTGCAAAGGTTTCTATGTTTGACCCTTACAGTGCTGTAATGTGAGCACTACAATATCATTATCTCCATTTTTCAGATAAGGAAATTAAGGCTCAGAGAAATTCAGCAACTTCTGCACGTTCCCATAGTAGGTGTCAGTCAGCATTCAAACCTAACTCTTTCTCTGAGTCCTGCACTCTCTCCATTACCCCATCAGAAGTGAATCTTACTCATTCCTGCTTGAGATTCTGCATTATTGTATGGCCAAAAAGAAAGTTGGTTATGAAATGTTGACAGGATTAATTTCAATTCACCATTCATTAAATGCCTACTGTGTTCAGTGTGCTATCCTAGAACCTGGATATACTAAGGTGAGATAAGACATAGTTCTTGCCCACAGTCTGACAGGAGAGATAAGACAAATACATAGCTAACCATCATACAAGTTGTTATATAGATGCCTAGAAGTACAAAGAAAGTAGTCTGAGAAATTCAAGGAGGAAGACATGACTTTCCACCTGGGGGAATCAAGTACAGAATAGCTTCATGGGACAAAAATAGCACCTAAGCTGCTCATAAAAGAGGGGAGATGTTTTACAGGTAAGGCACACAAGCAGTAAAAGCATGCATGACAAAAGCAGTGAATGGTCAATATTCCAATTAGTCTGGACTGTTGATGTGTGAAGGAAAATTGTTTGGAGTAAGATTGAAAAGGTGTTGTGGAGGGCCTTGAATGCCAGGTTAAAGTGTTTATGTTTTATTTGGTTAGTGGTTACAAACCAAAATATGAAGTAGAAGTCATGCTGCTTCATAATCTGTGCCCACATTCCCATAATTCCTTTTATATAAAGTGTAGATTATAATTAAGGTTGCACTCTCCTCTTGTATTTACTTGCTGTCTTAAAAAAAAAAAAGGGTCCAGATAAAGTATCTGGCCTTTTGAAAAAATACCTGTGAAAATTTTGATAGATTGAATGAGATGTATGTAAAAAATGTGTTGTAAACCTTAAAGTCCTATGTAAATGCTAGCTATTAGCTATTCTAGAAGTTTTCATTTAGTTAGATTAAGGGTTGAAATAAATACCCTTTGAAAGCCGCTGCCTTTGTGAATACCCTATATTACTATCAGATGTTGTAAAGATTGTGTCTTCTGGCTTAAACAAGTTGCTCATCCTCACGTTGATTTAACCTTTTTTTTTTCCCCTGGGAAACCTTTATCCTTACAAAGTTTCCCAGCTTCCTTACTCAGGAAGTATATGACTCATCATCCTTTTCTTTCTTCTTACATTAGTTTTAAGTTCTGGATATATAAATATGTGTATAGAAACAAGCCTAAATAGATTTTGGTCTGTGCCAAGTTATGCTTACTGATAAATGGTTCTTTTTTTTTTTTTAAAAGAATGTCCCCAAGACCAGAAATGTGTGTATGTCTGCACACAACCTCAATGTTGTTTTTGTGTGCCTATGTGTACTCTTTCTTTCTTTTTTGCTTCATTTAGTTTGACACTGTAATTGCAGAAGCGGCCAGCTTGATGTCCGGGAGCTGATATCTCTGTATCCCTTCCTGTTGCCTACTACTTCTTCATTCACACGGTCTCACCCCCCTCTGCATGAGTATGCAGACCTGAACCAGCTGACTCAAGGAGACCAGGAGAAGATGGCCAAGTGCAAAAGATTCCTCATGAGCTACTTAAATGAGGTCCGTAGCACTGAAGTGGCAAATGGCTACAAAGAAGACATTGACACTGCTTTGCTCAAGTTGTATGCAGAAGCAGATCATGAAAGCTTGCTGGACCTTTTGGTCACAGAGAACTCCTGCCTTTTAACAGACAGTGTGGCGTGGCTTGAGAAACACAAAAAGTGAGTCGTTCTTTCCAAGATGAGATAGCGGTGATGCATGTGCTAGACACCCTCCATTGAGAACAGAATCCCAAATCCTTCATTCCTGAAAGATGTGGTTGGTAAGGGCTACTGTCTGGAACATTGGTTTGTAACTTGGGGTCCATGAACTTTTTTAATAGATATTTTGGTAGCTGTATTTCAATCTCATTAGTTTCTTTTTCATCCTATGTATTTTAAAAAACATTCTGAAAAGGGGTCCGTGATCTTCTTCATCAGATTGCCAAATGGGTTCATGTCACACAAAAATAATTAAGAACCACTGGTCTAGAAATTAAGCCTGAATGGCATAATCCTAAAATTGGAGATTTCCAAGAGATATACATCAAAGTGAATAAGTCTTCTAAATCAGGGTAGGGGCAGAAATATACATAATCATTCAAAGCCTAGGTCAGATTTTTATACTGTGGTCTTGGTTTTCAGATTCAGTTCTATCATCAAGGGTAGTACAATCAGTATTATCAGTCTGTTACAGTTAGTTAACATCAGTTACCATTAAACAGCTTTTTCCTCGAGTTAAAGTAATTCTTACATTTCTCCTTTACTTTGGAAGGGTCTCATGCTTAAATCTACAAATTTAATTTAACTAGAGGTGAAAGAAACTATATCGGCATTTTATTAAAAGCTAATGATGTGCTGCAATGAATGATAACTAGGCTTAGAGCTGGCAGGAAAAGGAAAAGCTTCTAAAAATCTTAATACAGGTCCAGTTCTTACTGGTTGAGATTTTCAGCCTTGGAAGAAGTTGCCTTCTTCATCTCTGTAAGAAACTACTGAATAATAACAGGATTAAGGTAGTACTATTAATTTCTCCCATTTTCCCTGGAACCAGTTTTAACACATTCTGCTATATAGAGTGGGCACTTAAGAAGAGCATCAGAATTTTTAGTGTCTAACTTATTAATGAAATGTTCCATTCAAGTGGTTCTTAAAGTATTATTGAAGGGGTAGTTAGGTGGCGCAGTGGATAGCACACTGGCCCTGAAGTCAGGAGGACCTGAGTTCAAATCCATCCCCAGACCAAATGCTTGACTAGCTGTGAGACCTTGGGCAAGTCACTTAACCCCAATTGCCTTAAAAAAAAAAAGAAAGAAAGAAATAAGACAGGGGCAGCTAGGTGGTGCAGTGGATAGAGCTCTGGCCCTGGATTCAGGAGCACCTGAGTTCAAATCCGGCCTCAGACACATAGCACTTGCTGTGTGACCCTGGGCAAGTCACTTAACCCCATTGCCTAGCCAAAAAAAAAAAGTATTATTAATAGCATAATTATGTTAAGAAAATACACTGGAACCTAGATAATTATATTAAGAAAATACATGTTAGTGCTTTATAGAACCAGGAACTCAGAATACTTTTGAAAGATGCCTAGGGAGTTTCTCCCTCCAGGAAAAGAGCCAGACATTACCTTTGTATATCATGGCTTCCTCAGGGGAAGAGTGGCACAAGATTGGGACCTTTCCCTGGCCATTAATAATGAATGTTTGAATAGGAGACTGCCTAACTCTATTCATTTGGATGCATAGCACATTACTGGGTTCCATGCTTATCATTAGTATTTTAAAGAAATGCTTGGAGCCTCAGATCAGAATGACAGACATTATAATATTTGGAAGGAACCTTAGGCTTCCATTCCATTAGGCTTCCGTTCTAAAGCCACACAGCTGGCAGAGCTGGGACTGGAACCCAGGTTTCTGACCGCTTTGCTCTTGTCCAGGGTCACAGAGCCAGAATGTGTCCAAAGTGGGACTTAAACTTGGGTCTCCTTGGCTTTTCTATCCACTATGCTGCATTGCGTCTCATGTCATGGCTAGTTACAACTAGAAGTTGTAAAGAAGAGAGACTGTTTATGAAGTGGTGAGTGATATATATGTGTATTCTTAAAATTATTTGAAACACTGCGCTTCAGGGCCAGCAGTAACACATTTTACGCTGAAAGAGAGTTTGTATTTAAGATAAAAATTTCATCAGTTTTCACTTTCCAGCATCTCAGATTTGATGTTAATATATAATGTTAATATGTTATTAATCCCCCTTACCTTTTCTTATTGGCCATCCTGGGCTATATATACATTTTCTGTAGAAAACCAAAGCATATCCATCCACATAAGCTCTGTGTATGTGTGTGTGTGTGTGTGTGTGTGTGTGTGTGTGTGTGTGTGTGTGTGTGTGTGAGACTGTGTGATTTCAGTGCTCCATGAGCAAGATGGAGAAAGCCATACAGTGACCATTTTATTTTTCCTTTCAGATATTTTGCACTTGGACTTCTTTATCATTATAATGGCCAGGATGCTACTGCAGTGCAGGTTTGTTTGGCCTCTCTAGAGTAGCAATGTAATTACTGCTTTATTCACATGTATTTTTTAAAATCATACCAGCTTGATGGGTCTTAACACTGATTCGTCATCTTAGCTTGATTTACAACACTTTTCTAGGATCAAAAAAGATGCAGTTTTTGTGATGTTTAAAAAGGTTCAAGAGACATAATTTCTGGGTAATTTAATCATTTTATTAATAATGCCAGCATTTTAATAAAAGGATGGTCATTTGGCTGAGTCTTAGACCAAAGACGTTCATGACAGGCTGACAGCTTATACGCCATTTTGGAGGAGGAGTATTCCTGAGGGTGGCAATCAACTCTTGTTGGTTAACGATTAATGAGAGGTGGATCTTACAAAGAGAAGTAAGCTCACTCCAATGAGAGCCTAAGAGTGACATCATGTCATTCTTGGAGAGGGAGACTATCCCTATATGCAGACCATCCCCAGTCTGGGCAGTCTAGACAAAAAGATCTCTCTCCACCCAAGTTTGACTGAATGGAATTCACCTTAGACTAGAGATTCCTTGTAAGGTTGGGAGGGTTGGGTGGAGTCAGGTAGAAGAGGAGGTTAGCTCAATCTTCAGAGACTGATAATCTTAAAATGAAGATAATAGAAAAAGGGGGAAAATCTGAATTTCCCCAAATCATTAGTTATTAATAATCATTTTTCTCATTTTTTTGGTAGGAATACCATTCCTAAGGAAATGTTACCAAAAGTTTTCTTCTTATCCTCACACATCTACACACATTTCATAGTAATTGGGCTAATGAACATTGAAATAGAAAACAAAATCATTCTATGGTTCGATATGTGGTAGCATTACCTCAGCAAAAAGTGGTGAAGGCAATGATTGTCACTTAAAACTGTGGGTTCTCTGGAACTGACTTTATGTTAACTCTTTTTGAGAGGAGCCTTCAGCCCCTTGGTTTGTTTTTTTTGTTTTTCACAAGCTACATACATAGTGCTGTTCATAGAATGATGTCAAGATAAAAAGAATAGGCAATCCCTGCTTCCTGTAGAGGAGTAGTGGATTTGGGGTGCAGAATATGGCATATGCTGCTGTGTTTTACTTAATTGTATTACTTTGTTACATTGAATAGTTTTATTGTGGAGGGCAGGAATTGCTGGGGAAATGACAGTGATGTCACAAAAATTGATAAAATTCAAAAAGAAAAATAAAATACGAAGTGCCTCAATCTTATTTAAGCTAATTCTGGGAGATGTATAGTTAATTAACCTATTTCTTTTCCTTTTTCCAGTTATGGGTGAACATTGTGAATGGAGAAATCCATGACTCTACTCGTTCAGACCTTTATGAATATATTGTTGATTTCCTAACCTACTGCTTAGACCAAGAACTAGTGTGGAAATATGCTGAGTGGGTATTGCAGAAAAGTGAGGAGGTTTGTCCTTCATACATGTCCTCTTTCTTTGGTTGAGGAAAAAAATGTTATTTTTAGAGAAGAAAATATTGAGCTACTTTGTGACTTGTATTTTACTTGTTTTATTCCCCCTTAACACCTGTCTTAACTTGAACATGTAGGTAAGTGCCCTGTTTCCGAGCCACTGTGGCAGGCTTTTCTGATTTGTCTCATGAGGCAAGTCATTTCTTGCCAAGTCATGTTTTGTAGCTTTCCCTATAAAGTGTCCTCTTTTTTTTGAAACTTCACCTAACAGGTTAAAGTCTGCATTTCCCTTCCTGTGGGCTAAAGCAAAGTTGGAATGAACAGTAGTGTTCCATTGCTTGGCTCCCTGAAGGAGAGGATTAGACAGAATCTGGAAATGCAGAAATGTGTCAGCCCTGCATACTAGGTACACTGCCACATGAGAATCCATTGTCCGTGCTGCCTGCCATTCCCATTGCTGTTGCTGATCTGCCCATCTGAGCCCAGGGCTGGTCTGTGCTAGGTAGGAGCATGAAGGCAGAAATTGTGGACTAGAGTGGGTGTAAAGAAGCTATCATGTCTTGGGAAAGGAGAGAAAAGAAGGCAGGAATGAAGTATGGTCATGCCAGGTGGTAGGAATGGGGGTTGCATTGGGGATGGGTAGGGTTGCTGCTGCCATATAAAATCCTCACCAGTCAGTCCGCATTTATTGAGCTCTTGTGTGTACTAAGCATTGTAAGAAGGGCTGCCTCAAAAGGAGGTACTTACATTCTAATGAAGGAGACAGCATGTAAATAACAGTGGAAGAGAGTGGAAGGAAGGCAATCTCAGGGCAGACACAGCAGCAAGGAGGACAGGAGAAGGCCTCCTGCAGAAGGTTTGATTGGAGCAACATCATGAAAGCCCAGGATTCTAGTAGGTAGAGGTGAGTGAGCAGAGCATTTCCAGTGGGGCCAATGGCCACTGCAAAGGCACAGTCAGAAGATGGAGTTTATGTTCAAGGAAAGCAAGTAGTCTGATGAAGTAGTCATAGAGTTCATAGCAGAGAGTAAAGGGTAAAGGGATGGAAAAGGTAAAAAGGGACCAGGTTGTAAAGGGTATTATGTGACCAATAGAGACCTGCTGGAGATTAACGAGTAATGGGTTGACATGGTGAGCCCTACACTTGAGGAAAATTATTCTGACAGCCGAGAGGATAGAGCATAGATCAGACTGGGGAGAACAATAGAAGGCTTTTTATACACTTCATAAGTAGAACAGATGCAGATCCAAAGAAGTAGGAGTAATGTTTGTTGCCTCCATGTAAAGCACTGAACTGCCTGAGTTCACCTCGGACAGTGGGAATGAAGCATGCAGTCCAGTGGGCCACCTTTGGCTAAACCAGCATTTTATTGGGGACAAGTTGTCCTGGATTTTAATACCCTTACTGGGTTCAGTACAGAATTTGCAACAGGTGTGTCACGTGCCTTTAGAGTGCTGCCTCTATTCTCCATACAACTGTTTTCAAAGAGGACACAGAAATTGCTGATGGCCACTGATAGCTTTGGGAACATTGTACATCATGCTCTGTGAACAGTTTTAAAATATCAGTCTTGGTTGTGTGATACGAAAGAGGTTTAGTTAGTGGGTGAGGAAGCTTGAAGAGTACTTGTACAGTGAATGAATTCTCTCTCCCAGAAACTTGTGGATTTTGCTTTCAGCAATATCCGCACATTTCTTGGGGTATTTTCCTGTGTTTAAATATTGTTTTCTCACATCCAAAATGTGATTTCCTCATCTCTCCATAGTGTTGTATAAGTCACCTAAATCTGTTATATTGGAAACACTTATAGGTATTATGAAGATGAATAACAGTTCTAGATAGGTAGTCAACTCTCAGTTATCTAGTAGAGGAAGGTAGTGACGTAAAAAAATTCCAAAATAGTGAATGATACAAAAATCATTTCTGTGAGATTTTCCATTTTTTGGTGATTTTTTTCCCCTCCCCCTTTTCTGCATGTTTCCTTTGTTGTTAAATTTCCCTTGAAATAACTTTTCTGTTGTACACATCAAGTTACAGGAACATGTAAGGTGGCGGGCAGCAGCCAAACTATTTAAGTATTTGCCACTTAAAACAGTTCACTGATCTATATGGACAATCTATATGCAAATAATGGAGAGTTAAATCTATTGAATCAACTATTGAATGGTCATTTTAAAAAAAATTTAATTATTTTTGGTTCATTTTAAGTTCCAAGCTCTCTCCCTTCCCCCTCTCCTCCCACCCACACACTATATAGAAGGCCACCATTTGACATAGATAGATAGATAGATATAGATATAGATATATAGATGTAGGTACATATGTATATATATATGTATATATATATATATGTATATATATATATATACACACACACACACACACACACACACACATATGTGATGTGTATGTGTATGTATATAAAGCTATACTATGCCTGGTTCTGTTTGTCAGTTCTTTCTCTGGAGATGGGTAGAATCCTCATAGAATCCTTTGTAGTTGATTTGAGTATTTATAATACTCAGAATAACTTAATCATTCACAGTTGTTCTTTGAACAATATTTTTGTTACTATAGACAACATTTCTGCTCATTTCATTATTCATTATTTCATGGAAGTCTTTCCATGTTTTCCTAAAATCAACCTGCTCATCTACCAGGTCAGTTTTTTTTTTTCCTGATGATTTTTCAGTTGTTCTTCAGCAAGAGGACATTATTCTTCTTAGGTGATCTGTGGATTGCTCCAAGTTGTTACTCTTCATATTGTCAAAACCCATGATAAAGTAAACCCTTCCTTTTCTCTGTCCATCGTTTACTGTGTAATGAGACAGTTCAGTGGATAGAGCACTGGACCAGGAATCAAGAAGTCTGGAACTCAAATGCAGCCTCAGGCACTTATCAGCTATGTGACCCTAAGTAAGTTATCTAACCGATGGAGATATTAATAGCACCTACCTCCCAGGGTTATTGTGAGGATCAAATGAGATGATGTTCGTAAGAAGTGATTAGCATGGTGCCTGGCACCATGGTGTAATGTGTGTGTATACATACACACATGTGTGCTTCTCCCCTTCTTTTCCCAGCAATATCTTTCCATCTGAACTTTAACAAAGTTTCAACATTTAATTTGACCATAGTTGTGCCTCTGATCCCATGTTGTTTAATCTTTGCCAGCGTAAACGTTGCATTACTTTGTGCTTGCATGTTTTCTGTTGTTCATCATTATTAATGATTAATTCCTCACCTAAAGTATGAAATGGGCAGTAACTAGAACAGGAAAAGAAGAAGGTGACTTTGAAAAGCCTGTTATCTAAAATGTCACTTTTTTTCAGGTTGGAGTTCAGATTTTTACCAAAAGACCTTTGGAAGAGCACCAGAAAGATATCTTCAACCCAGATGACATCATCAACTGCCTTAAAAAATACCCTAAGTCTATTATTAAGTACCTGGAACATCTAGTTGTGGACAGGAAAGTACAAGTAAGTGCTTCAAAAATTTTTAGTCTTCTCTGTACAAATGCTATTGACGTACTGGGTAAGAATTTAGATTGGGTGACCTCAGGCATCCCTTTCAAGTCCAAGATTCCATGAAAAAAGTACAAGCTATACTTTCACAGTAATTGTGGGAAGAGGCTGAGTTACATTACAGAGCACTTTGAGTAAAATTGTACCAAACTACCAAAGTACCATATGGGTACTCAATAAATACTTAATGGACTGTCTAGATGATTTCAAGAGGCCTACGGACATGAAGACCTTGAGACATATGTTCTGTTGGTCTCATAGCTTCTCCTCTCCCCTACTGTGCCCCATTCCCACATTCAGCTTTTTTTTTTCTCCCCCATCTTCCTCTTGTATCTTCTTTGAAAGGAATGAGGGAAGTTGTAGGTCTGGATAATTTGGCTTCCTTATTTTCCCATAACAGTGTCTATAATGATGACTTTATTTAAATCTTGCTACCTTCCTTCTGCAGAGTCTAAGATCAGGGGCAGGGAATCTGCGGTTGGCCTAGAGGCCATGTGTGGCCCTCTAGGTCCCCAAGTGCAGCCCTTTGACTGAATCCAGCTTCACAGAACAAATCCCCTTAATAAAAAGGATTTGTTCTGTAAAACTTGGACTCAGTCAAAGGACCACTTGAGGACCTAGGGGGCCACATGTGGCCTCAAGGCCACAGGTTCCCCACCCCTGGAAGTGAATCCCTATTAAAAAATGTTCCATTCTCCTAAGATTTACAATTCACCTTATTTATGTTGTAGTTTTTAGAACAGGTTTGAATTTCTAAAGGAGCTTTGAAATCACAAGTTTATCCTGTGTCTTATCTTTTTTTTTTTTTGCTTAGGTCTTGCTCTAATGGCAAGAACCCCAATCCTCAGTCTTTTTTTGTTTTTATTTTTTAAAATTTTACTTTATTTTAGACTCAAACACCAGAACAAAAATATAGAATAGAGAAAAGGAAAAAAATATATCATAAATTTAAATATTGGAACTTAAATACAAAGCAGAAAAAGAAAGAAAAGCCATGTCATGTGCATAGCAGAACATGAGAGGATTCAAAATATGTAATGATAAATTTTCATTTCAAGAAATCTCATGTGATAAATACTACACATTGTATTGAGAGGGGTCCATCTTTTCTTTGCTTCCTTGTAAGTTTTCTTTTGTTCTGTGCTGTACACTTTTTATAAACTTTGTTCTTTTTTTGCCCTTCTTCCCCCTTCCCCCAAAGTAAGTGTGGATATATTTCTATATAGATATAGATATGTACGTATACATATAAAACATGTGTACATACATATGTAGACTTATGCTTTCCCTAACAAATTCTACTCCTCATCTTTGTTTTTATGTTTGTGTGTATCTTGTTTCCTATCCCTCCTGACTCCTCTACTTTACTTCTACCCCCTACCTTGCCCTCCTATTACTTAGCCTACCCACCTCCAAGAATCTCTTCCCCTGTCCTCCCATTCCCATAAACCCAAGTGCCCTTCTGTAGTCCCCTATAACCTATTCCCTCACTCTCCCCTCTAGAGATCCTCCCTTGTCCTCTCCCCAACTCCAGTTCCTTAACGTTTTATGTCTTCTGAGTTCAGAAGACTTTTATGCTCTTCTAGATATGTGTGTATTGTTCCCTCTTAAACCCATTCCCACTGAAAGTAGGTTACCAGAACTACCAGCCCTCCTTGCCCATCTAATTCCTCTGTCAATTCTTCCTCCTGCACCTCATTTAAGGGGCAGCTAGGTCTTTCAGTGTATAGAGTACCAGCCCTGAAGTCAGGAGGACCTGAATCCAGATCTGGCCTCAGACCAAACGCTTGACACTTACTAGCTGTGTGACCCTGGGCAAGTCACTTAACCCTAATTGCCTTTAAAAAAAAAAGTGTGTCCACCTCATTTATATAAAATAATTACTCTTTATAGCTGTTCCTAAATGGTTTTACTTTTTAAAGTCATGTCATACTCAGGTCTACCCTAATCTTTCTTATAAATACCCAGTTACTAATGACAATCTTAAACATGCATTTTACATATGTAAAAAGTAAATGGTTGTCCTTATTGAATCCCTTGTAAATCAGTCTTTGATATGTACCTTATGTTTCTCTTGGCTCTTGCATGTTAAGTCTTCTATTAAGTTCAGTTTTGTTTTTTTTAACAAAGTCTTGAAAGTCTGACAGTTGATCAAATGTCCTTTTTTTTTTCCATTCAGAATTATACTTAACCTTGCTGGGTATGATATTGTTGGCTGGAGCCCCAGTTCTTTTGCTCTTTGATATATAGTGCTCCAAGACCTGTGGTCCTTTAGTGTCTCTGCTGCAAATCCTTATATGATTTTAATTGTGGCACCATCATATTTAAATTGATTTTTACTTCTTGCTTTTAATATTTTATCCTTGAGCTGGGAGTTACAGAATTTGACTACAATATTCCTATGAGTTTTCCTCATAGGATCTCTTCCAAGTGGTGATAGATGGCTTTTTTTTTTCTATTTCTACTTTCCCCCCTTGTTCAAATGCTTCAGGACAATTTTCTTTTATTTCATATATTATTGTATCGAGATTCTTTTTTTGATCAGGTAGCCCAGTTATTCTTATGTTTTCTCTTCTTGATCTGTTCTCCAGATCAGTTATTTTTTTTATAAGATATTTCATTCTCTTCTATTTTTTCATTCTTTGTATTTTGTTTAATTATTTCCTGATCTCTTATAACTTTGCTTGCTTTGCCTTGCCCAATTCTAATTTTCAAAGTGTCATTTTCTTCCTTAAGATTCTGGGTCTCCTTTTCTAATTGATTGGCTTTTTTTTTCCATAATCTTCTTGTTTTGCTTGGATTATTCTTAGTTTTTTGATTTTTTAAAAAAGTTTTTCCTCCATTTCTCTCATTTGATTTTTAAGTCTTTTTAAAGTTCTTCTATGAATTCTTTTTTGGGCAGGTGGCCATTTGATGTTACTCTTTGGGGTAGAAAAGGGTTTCTTGCTTCAATATCTTCCTCTGAAGATGAACCCCAGTCTTCTCTATTCCCATAATAACTTTCTGTGGTTGGATTCTTCTTTCTTTGCCTATGCATTTTTTGTAGTAGTAGCTTAATTTTTGTAATCACCTCTAGTCCTGGGGTATGGGAGATGGTGCCTCTGGCCTTACATCTTCAGTTCTCCCCTCTAGCCTGGAACCAAAGCCAAGCCTCCAGACTCCTGTAAGTGCCCACAGCCAGGGGCATCCCTGCCCCCTGTGTCTGTACCCACCTGTGCTGGTTCCTTCTCACCCCTGCCCCTCTCTGCAGTACAGCTGAGTCCAGCATTCCTTGTCACCAGAGGTTTCCTTGACCTTCCTGGGCTCAGGCACCCAACTCCCCTCACTGTCCCAGGGTAAAAGTTCCTGTGGCTGAGCAGAGGCAGACTCCCAAACCAGCTAACCCAGGGCTTGCTACTTGTTAAAGGTGACCCTAACCTGGAAGTGCTAAGAGTAAAGACCTCCAGGTGCTATTTTATCTTTTTTGTGAGGGAAAATCTTGGGCACTTGCTTGGAATTTTCTGACCTACTTCACCATCTCCCCAGAATCCTCTCCCTTGTGTCTTATCCTTTATGATTTTCATAAAGAGGCTGGAGGTGGGGGAAATGCTTTGTAAACCTCAAAATGCTGTGGCAGTGTTTATTAATTGGTGTTAGTAATTTCAATTAAAAGGGAGTTGTTTTGGTTCCTGTGGCAAGGTATTTTTTACCATTCATATGTGCAGTAACATATATGTATTTATTATTTACTCTTTTTCTGCAGAAGGAAGAGTATCACACTCACTTAGCCATCCTGTATCTAGAGAAAGTGCTTCAGCAGAAGCCCAGTGCAAATGGTAACTGTGCAGAAGTGACTGAAACTCAGGCAAAGCTACGGAGTCTGCTTCAAAAATCTGATCTGTACAGAGTCCACTGCCTGATAGGTAAGATCCACTTCATCTCAAGAGCATTCAGCACTCTGTGTACTTAGAGATAATAGCTCACATCCGCAGGGGCCTTTCCATTCACAAATCACTCTCTCCCTAGCTGCCCTTTGAGGCAGGTCATGAGGGTTCTTTTTTACAAATGAGGAAACTGGTACTTAGAGAGGTTAAAAGATCAGGGTCACACAGCTACTTAAGTCTCAGAGCCCAGGCTTGAACCAAGGTCTTCAGAGTCCAGCATTCTTCCCACCATTTCAGAGCATCCTCTGCCCCCCTCCCCCCCTCCCCACAGAGCTGCCTCTTTGAAGTTTCCAACTGTAGTTGTGTCTTACTTTGCACAAGGTCTTGCCCTTCACTCAGTGAATGCTGAATTGATTTGGATTTACAAGAAACAGAGGTATGAATATCCTAAGGCTCTGCTCTACTCGACATCTGTTTTCCTGGTTAAAGAGTTGGCATGACCAGTACTTTCATGAATCTTAGCATAAGATTCTGGATTGAATGTGTTTGAACTTCTTTGATGCTTGCCATGCTTTTTCCTTCTGAATCTGACATGGGAAGATGGATTATAATATTCTTCCCCTCTGACCCAGAAAAAGAAAGATCATGGGGAAGTGGGGGCCTAACTCTTTAACAGTACCCTGGCACTAATAATTCTAGTTTTACATTTAAAGGCACCAGTAAATCACACACACACCTAGTGACACCAGCCATTTCCCAAGCTGCTGAGTGCACTGACTGGGCATGCTACAAATTCATGCCAACTTCAGCTTTGACTTTTCATAAATCCTTTAATTAATCTCAGATTAACTTAATTGTGTTTTCCATAGCAGCTGTTCCAAGCCTTCTCAAGCCACCAACTCCATCCCCATTCCCTTCTCCTTGAACCAATGGTTTGACTTCTGCTTTTTTGGAAGTACAGTTTAAAAATCTCTAGTTAATTTTTTTAACAAGTAACTTTACCATGTAGCTCAGCCCAATAGTAGCATGCTCCCCTAGGATACTAAATGGTAATAGTCTAGGGCTGCAAACCGGTGGGCAGATAACAGTGTATAGTTTGATGGTAATAATTCCATTTGATGAATACTGCATATTGAATTCTGTGACTTCTTGTTTCATTGAGTTATAAGATTTGTATTTGTTGATAAGTAAGTTAGTATGAATAATAGTTTTATAGTGATTTTTCTTTGAAGGCCCTCAAAACGCGCCTCATATATGTTAAAATTTGTCCTAAAACTCCTTGTTATACATCGATGTGTTTATATGGAGGATGACCACATCATAGTAGAAAAATGACCTGGACTTCAGTTTAGAAGACCTGAGTTGTAGTTTCAGCTTCCTTACTTACTGTGTTAACCCTAGGAGAATCACTCAACCTTTCTGAGTTTTAGTTTCCTCATCTATAAAATGAGGAGAATAGTAATTAACCTTGCCTTTCTCACAGACATATTGTAAGGATCCAGTGAGATATGTTTGAGAGTGTTTTGTAAACTGTAAGGCTCCATGCCAATGTAAATTGTAATGTTATTGGTTAATGTCATTAAAATTAATGAAGAGGCAGCATGTCATAATGGATAGAGGATTGGTCTCAGGTTCAGGAAATCATGAGTTCAGGCTCTGCTTCTGACCCTAGGCAAGTCACTTACTTTCTGGGCCCTAGGAGGTTTTCCAAGACTGTAAGTTGTAGCAAAGGTGCCAGTTTGCATAGGTGAAGGGAGTTTCCTCCTCTTGGAGTTCCCTATACCACAGAAATCACAGGTCTGATCCAAAAGAAAATTGAACATAACTACATGTTAATTAGACTTTTTTTTTTTAAAAAAAATCCTTTTAGGTAAGTAAAATAAAAATAAATATTCAGTGGAATATTTTGCAGAAGACAGATTATTAAAAAATTTGTTTCTAAAATGTGCAGGAAAGTTTCAGACTCTCTCTTGATAATCAAGACCTTCCACATTATTGGTGGCCCCAAGATAGCTTTCTAGTTTGATTTCACACTGCTCTTCCATTTGATGAATTCAATACTACAGCAGTCAAACTGGACCAGGGACATCTACCCCATTCTTCTTCAATTTAAATGCCTCTCTTCCTTCCAGCTCCAGGTCAGACAATACATCTTCTGTAAGCCTTCCCTGCCTCTCACCAGCTGTGATAGTGCTCTCTTCCAACTTAATATAACACTTTGGATCTTTTCTTTGTATTTTCTTAGCATATTTAGCCATGTTGTAGTTATTGTAGGTGCCATATTCCTCTAGTATAATGTAAGGTTTTTGAGAGTAGTGACTGTGCCCTTTTTCATCTTTCTATCCCTAGAGTCAGAGTGGGGTAGTGGAAAGAGTGCCAGGTTTGGTTTCAGGAGACCACGGTCTTCTAACTGCCTGCCTACCAAGTAGTAGGTCTTCTACCTACTGCTTCTATATCTTGGATAAGTCACTGATTCTTCCTCTGCCTCAGTTTCCTTATCTGTAAAATGAGGAGGTTGGGCTAAATGTCTTCTTAGGTCCCTTTCAGCTCCTCTTGCCTTAGGTAGAGTAGACATGTACTCAGTTCTTATTGAATTGAATCATCATTAGGCTATGGATCATATGGACATATGTAATGTTGTAGATACTCTCCAAAATTAGAAATTCAAAGCAAACATTTATTAAGCACCCACTGTCCACCTCGGTGGCCTGTTCCAGCACTTAAGAAGATGATTTTGGCAGCTGTAGGGAGGAGGAATTGGGAAGGAGAAAATGTAAAAGAAAGGAGCCTAGAAGCCACTAGGATGCCATTGCAAGTTCAGTCAAGAAATAAGATGGAAGAGGATGGATATAAGATGCCAAGGTTCAGCTGACAAGACTTGGCAGCCAATTGGATTTGGAAGGTGAAGGAGAGGAGGAGTTAATTCTTAAGGTAGAGAACCTTGGTGACTAGAAACATGAGAATACTTTCAGTAGAAATAGAGAAGTTGGAATCTGAGTGTATTTAGTAGGGAAGAGAACAGGTTCCATTTTGGATATGTTGAGTTTGAGGTGCCAGCGGGCAAACTAGGTGGACGTGTCTAGCAGACAGTCGACAGAATGGGACTAGAGTTCAGGGATGAGATTAGGGTTGAATATAAAAATTTGTGTATCATTGCAGTAGAGATCATAATTAGATAATAGCTAACATTCATATGGGTCTTTAAAGACTGAGCTTCAAAATGACCCTGTTGGGTAAGTACTACAGATATTGTTATCCCCATTTTACTGATGAGGAAACTGAGCTTCCACATAGGTTAAGTGAATTACTAGTGATCACAGAGGTAGTAGGAAGTGTCTGAGGTGTGGGGGAGAGATTGAGAGAGACAGAGACAGTGAGAATGCGGGAGATTGAGCAGAAACAGACATGTAGAAGAGACCAGGAAACAATATCTCCATATGGAGAGGTTTGTTAAGAGTGTCATAAATCAGGTCAGTTAGGTTGAAGGCTGACAAAACACCATGGACTCTTCATTGGGAGGACAGTTTCAATCCATAGTATGATCAGAAGCCATATTACAAAGGGTTTAGAAGTGTGTAGAAGTTCTTTGTCTGTATTTTTAGTTGAGGGATTGCCTCCTCTCCCCCCACAAAGAAAAGAGAGCCATTGAGACATTGTTGGAAATGTGCTAAAGAGAAGAGGAAAGGGTTTGGAGAGAGGCATAGGCAAGCAGGGGTGGCTTGTGGAATTCATCATATACTTTTTAATAAAGTAAGTGGTATGAAATGAGAGTTAAGATTTTGTTTATGTAAATGTTTTTTTTGTATTTAAGTTCAGAATAAAAATATTTTCTTAGAAGAGTTCAAGATGTGGCAGTAGAAACAATGAGTATAGGCTTCCCCCCCCCCCACTAAGAATTTGATTGTAAAAAGGAGAAGAAATATCGAATGTAGCTTAAGGGTCTGGTGGAGTCAAAGGGTTTTTTTTGTTTTGTTTTGTTTTTGATGATAGGAAGACCTGGGCTTGTTTGTAGGCAGAAGGGAAGAAACCAGTATATAAAGAGTACTTGAAGAAGAACAAGGAAATGATTGAAGGGAAAGTTTATGGAAAGGAGGGATCAAGTAGAGGGGTTGAGCTTGTCAAGGAAAAGGGCCACCTCTACTCCAGATAGTGAAGCAAATGACAGAGCAGAGGATAAAGGACTAGAGTTTTGAATTGTGAAATAGAAAGAAGAGAGAGATCATGGCTGATAGCCTTGATTTCCTCAGTAAATTAAGCAGTGAAGTCCTCTACCAATAAAGAATGGGGAAAGGGTCTTAGGAGGCTTGAGACCAGCTGGGGAGAGCTCTCAGTGTCCTTTTGAGATTATATCACATAAATTTGTTGTGGACACAATCAGCAAAGTTCTGCAGCTTCCTCAGATTCCCTGTCTCAGTCATGATAGCATCTTTTCCAGATCTTTCTCCTTCCTTCCTCAAATCTGCCATGGTCCCCCCTCCCTCTGCTCTCTCAGCTGCCTCCTATTTCACTGAAAAAGTTGAGGCCATTCCTCTCTCCTAACATCATTTAGCTGCCTCTACCACTATTTCCTCTCCAACCCCTGTTTCACATGAAAGGCTCTTCTCCTTGCCATACCCCTCCACATGCACAAATGATCCCATTCCTTCCTCTCTTCTCCAAAAGATTGTCTCCTCTGTTATACCCATTCTCATTAATCTTCAGTCTCTGCCTGTGTGTTGGAAGTGTCTGTGCTGCCTACAAACACATGCATATCTCTGTCATACTTAAAAAAACCATTCTAATTTGATCCAGCCCCTCTGTCTATTGTCCTATATTTCTCCTCCCTTTCATGGCTAAACTTGTTAAGAAGATCATCCATGCTGCCACTTCCTTCTGCTTCTCACTTTTTTTTGGACTCACTGCAGTCTGACTCCTGACATCATTCAGTTGAAACTGCTTTCTTTAAAATTATCAATGACCTCTTAATTGCCAAAAGTGATGGTCTTTTCTTAATTCTTATCCTTCTAGCTTTTGCCATTTTTTTTCTTCCTTTTTTTTCTGTGAGGCAGTCGGGGTTAAGTGAGTTGCCCAGGGTCACACAGCTAGTGAGTATCATGTGCCTGAAGCTGGATTTGAACTCGAGACCTCCTGACTCCTGGGCCAGTACTCTATCCACTGTGCCACCTAGCTGCACCAATAAATTTCCTTTTTTTTTTTTTTTTGGTGAGGCAATGGGGGTTAAGTAATTTGCCCCTGGTCACAATGCTAGTAAGCATTACTTGTCTGAGGCCAGATTTGAACCCAGGTCCTCCTGACTCCAAGGCCATAGCTTTTGCTTTTGTCAAGCCCCTCCTACTTCTCTTCTCTAAATTTTCATGATTTTCTGTCTTGGTTCTCCTCTTACCTGCATACTCAGTCCAGTTTTGTGGATCTTCATCTAGGTCACACCCACTAACCATGGGTCCTTCAAGGGTCTGTCCTGGGTCCTCCTATCCTATGCTATTTCACTTGGTGATCTCATCGGCTCCCATGGATTCAGTTATCATCTCTGCGCAGATTATTCTCAGCTCCATTTATCCAGCCCTAACCATTCTCCTGACCTCTAGTCATGCATCTCTAACTGCCTGTGAGATATTTCAAACTGGGGTGTCTCTTAGATGCCTCAAATTAACTGTGCCCAAAACTGAACTCATCGTCTTCTCCTCTGAGCTGTTCCCTCTTCCTTTTATTCCTTCGCTGTCTTTCCCGTCACCCAGGTTTATAACCTTGACTCTTCACATTCTCTCACACTCCTATGTTTAATCAGCTGACAAGTCCTGTCATTCATACCTTCAGGACCAGCTCTCCTCTACAGCCCCTTGTCTTCTGTGGCAGTGCCACTGTCCCGCTGTGAGCTCTTGTCATTTCACATCTGTACTACAGCAGTAGCCTTCTGATCAGTCCTCCTGCCTCAGATCTCCCCCTGTCCCAGTCTGTCGTCCACTCATTTCTCAAATTAATCTTCTTCAAGCATAGGTCTAACTGGGTCAACCCCCTAGTCAATAAACTCTGGTGGCTCCCTTGAAGCAGAAGGATCAACTATACAATTCTCTGTTTGGCTTTTAAAGCCCTTCATGGCCCCCTTCTACCTTTACCTCACTCCGACTTCTTGTACTTTCCTCCTTTCCAAATAACTCTGTGATCCAGTGACACTGGCCTCCTTGCTGTTCTTCATACAAGGTAGGTTGTCTTCAACAACGTGGATTCTCATGGCTGCCCCCCATGGCTGGAATTCTCCACTTCCTGGCTTGTCTGGCTTCCCTCAAGTCTAAGCTAAAATCCCACCTTCTGCAGGAAGCCTTTCCCAAATCTCTAGTAATGCTGGTGCCTTTCCTTTAAGATTATCTCAGTTTATCCTGTGCGTGTGATACACACAGAATATATGCATGTATGTATATATACACATGCACACATGTACATATACGCCTATAAGTATGTATGAGAAATATAAAATTTCATATTCATATATAAATATAATGGGAAAGGGACAACATACACAACTGTGTACAAACAAGATAGATGCGACACACAGTATATATACATGTACATAATTGTAGATATATGTGACACCCAGATGAGATATATGTAACACATGATATGTAATATGTCTAATATATGTTCTGTGTGTGTGTCCCTATCCAATTAGACTGAGCTTCTTGAAAGCAGGGACTATCTGTACCTATCTTTGTATCTCTGTGGCTTAACATAGTGCCTGGCATGTAGTAGGCACTTAATAAATATTGGCTTGACTTAAACAGAGAAGGGCAGATAGTGGGAGATAAGTGAAGGGAATAACAGGTTTGGAATTTAGCCAGGTATGTTCACTGAAAGGGCAAGGGGGATAGAGGGTCAGGATTAGAGGGCATCATAAGAGTTGAACTGGTAAAGTCTCTAAAGGGAAGAAGGTGAGGCCAGAGTAGCTGTGATAGACTGGGAAAATAGGGAAGGCTAGAGGGACGCAACGAAAACAGGGAATGCATTAGAAAGATCTTAAACGTGTCCCACTCGAGCCAGAGTTTCACAAAACTGTACATAACACAGTTCTGCTCTGTTTCCCCATCTGTCCTCAGAATATCCTTTGTGACAGGAAGGGCCTCTTTATTACTGTTCCCATTTTACACCTGTGGAGTTGGAGGCACAGAAATGAAGTAATTTAATTTACACAGCTTACGTGGGGTAGAAATGATATTAGAACTCAAGTTTTTCTTTTTCCATCAGATTATGTCGTCTCTTCTAATTTGAAAAATTAGATTGCAGAAATATTAGAACATCTTTAGAAATAATTTAAATATGTAGATTCACTCACTTAACTCATGTGACTTTCTGTCACGGCAACTATAAATTGGCATAGTATTAGGAGTCATTAACTGGATACTGTGGGCCTACTATTCTTTAATATATGCTAAAGATGGGGAATGTGGTAGGGAATAAACACTTCTATGTTCCTGGCACTGTGCTAGGTGCCTTGCAAATATCTCCTCTGAGATGGCTTTTGTATGTGGCAGTGGGCAGTACCCAAGTGAAGTAAATGAGAGACTTTTTAAAAAATTTCTTTTTTTAAAAAATAATTAGTTTATTTTTGGTTTTCAATATTCACTTCCATAAGATTTTGAATTTTAAATTTTCTCCCCTTTCCTCTCCTCCCCCCATGGCAAGATGGCATGCAATCTGATATAGGTTCTATTTATCCATTCATTTTAAGCATATTTTCACAGTAGTCATGATGTATAGAAGAATTAGAACTAATGGAAGGAACCACGAGAAAAAAGAAATCAACAGAAGAAAGGGACAGCAAATAGTATGCTTTGATCTGCATTCAGACTCCATAGTTCTTTCTCTGGATGTGGATAACATTTTCCATCTTGAGTCTTTTGAAGTTGTCTTAGATCCTTGCATTTCCAAGAAGAGCTAAGTCTATCAAAGTCAGTCATCGAACAATGTGACTGTTACTATGTAAAATGTTCTGATTCTGCTCATTTCAGCCAGCATCAGTTCATATATGTCTTTCCAGGTTTTTCTGAAGTCCATCTGCGCATCATTTCTTATAGTATAATAGTGTTCCATTACATTCTTATACCTCAACTTGTTCAGCCATTCCCCAATTGATGGGCATCCCATCAATTTCCAATTCTTGGTCACCACAAAAAGAGCTGCTATAAATATTTTTGTACATGTGGGTCCTTTTCCCATTTTTATAGTCTCTTTGGGATACAGTCCTAAAAGTAGTATTGCTGGGTCAAAGGGTATGCACAATTTTATAGCCTTTGGGCATAGTTCCAAATTGCTCTCCAGAATGGTTGGATCAGTTCACAACTCCACCAACAATACATTAATGTTCCAGTTTTCCCACATCACCAGCATTTATCATTTTCCTGTTTTGTATGATGTGGCATCTCAGTGTCGTTTTGATTTGTATTTCTCTAATCCATGGTGATTTAGAGCATTTTTTCATGACTATAGATGGTTTTAATTTCTTTCTTTCTTTTCTTTCTTTCTTTCTTTCTTTCTTTCTTTCTTTCTTTCTTTCTTTCTTAGGCAGTTGGGGTTAAGTGACTTGCCCAGGGTCACACAGCTAGCAAGCGTCAAGTATTTGGTCAGAGGCCAGATTTGAACTCAGGTGCTCCTGATTTCAGGGCCGGTGCTCTATCCACTGAGCCACCTCGCTGCCCCAGTAGCTTTAATTTCTTCCTCTGAAAACTGCCTATTCATATCCTTTGACCATTTATCTGTTGGGGAAGGAGAGACTTTCTTTTAGAATTAGAGGTTATTGGTGAACCTGTAAACCTGAGCTCTCACCAGGGCCTTCTTTCTACTGAAACATTTGGTGCCTTTCCTTCTGAAATTTAAAAAAAAAATCCATTCCAAAATCATTTATAATTGTAATAAAGAGAGTCTATGTTATGCTTGATTTTTCAGGGCCTAAATACTAAGCATGAATGTGCATGAAAATGTTGACTTAGTCATCTAGATGGCAGCATTTAGCAACATCTGTCGTCTCCCCAGCTAGGTGTGTTTTGCATAATGAATTTTACTTTCATATGTTCTTAAAGTAAAAGGCAAATTGAGTGGGATTGGAACTTAGGGAGAAGTGATATATTGCCCAAGTGCTCCTTTGGGTTATGTTTCCATCTGATTTTTAAACAGCTTGTTCCCTTTGACAGATAAAATCCAGGGGACCAGCCTTCACATGGAAAGTGCAATATTACATGGAAAGCTGGAGGAGCACGACAGGGCCCTGCACATCCTGGTACATGAGCTAAAGGACTTCTCTGCGGCTAAGGATTACTGCCTGTGGAATTCTCAGAGTAAAGACCCTCTGTATCGGCAGCGGCTCTTCCACATGCTGCTCTCTGTTTACCTAAAGCCAGGACCCTCTGATTGTGACCTGGTTCCGGCTGCCGTGGACCTCTTGAACCACCACGCCACCGAGTTCGATGCAGCTCAGGTTTTACAGCTGGTGCCTGACACCTGGTCGGTTCAACTTCTGGCACCTTTCCTTACCAGGGCTGTGAGGGAAAGCCTTCACACCAAGAGGATGACTCAAGCTGCATTGGGTTTGGCCAAAGCAGAAAACTTACTCTACAAACATGATAAGGTGAGGGGGGATGTTTTTGGCAGGTCATGTTTGACCTGGGGGGTGGTGGTGGTAGTCATGGAGTTGTTTTTCTTTTTCTTTTTGTTTTATTCCTCATTCATAGGATCATGATTTTAGAGCTGGAAGGGGCCTTAGAAATAATCAAATCCAGTCTTCTCATTTTACAGACGAGGAAACTGAGAGACAGAGAGGTGAAAGAGACAGTCACACATTTGGCAGCGAAGTGGTGCAGTGGATGGTACACTGGGCTTGAGTCAGGAAGACTCATGAGTTCAAATCTGGCCTCAGACATTTACTAGCTGGGGTACCCTGGGCAAGTCACTTAACCTTGTTTGCCTTAGTTCCCCCTCTATAAAGTGAGCTGGAGAAGAAAACCACTTCAGTAACTTTGCCAAGAAAATCCCAAGTGGGGTCACAAAGAGACAGACACAATTGAAATGATTGAAAAAGGGTCACGCAGGTAGTCGGACCCAGGTCTTCATGACATCAGGTTCAGCATGATGATCCCATATACCACACAGTTTGTTGTTGTTAACTTTATTAATGTTAATGTTTATTAACCAGTGACTCCCTTTATTATTTTTCCTCTCTGTAGTCATGATCATTCAAAAGTAAGTCCCTATTCAAACGTGGCGTTAATGGCGTGTGCAAGTAGAAACTAGGGAGGGAAGCAGCAGCATAATGCAGCTGGCTTCTGGGAATGATCAGAAAGAGAAGTGTTAGGGAAGGATGCTTCATTGCTGGAGAATTCCTTGTGTTCTCCCTACAGAGTGACATGGGCTTCCTTGCTGTTCCTAGTATGAGACTTTCCAATTCCCAGTTCCAGGCTTTTCCCTGGCTGTCTCCTATGACTGCAGTGCTTTCCCTCATCTCTGCCTCCTGACTTTGCCAGTTTTCTTTAAAACCCAACTAAAATCCCATCTTCTATAGGAAGATTTCCAGTCCTCTTTAACTCTAGTGCCTTCCCTCTGAGGTTATCTCCAGTTTATCCTGTATATACAGTTGGTTTGTATGCAGTTCTTTGCATGTTGTCTTCCCTATTAGATGGTGAGCATCTTGGAACCAGAAGCCATCTTTTACTTTTCTTTGTATCCCCAGTGCTTTGCATGGTGTCTGGCACGTAGAAGGCACTTAAGAAGTGTTTAATGACTGACTGGCTGACAGCTGACATTAGATGTACAGTGTCAGTCCACTAGACTGTGCTTACATAAGTAGTTTGTACAGTAACTTTGCATTTTAGGAAACACAAGGCTCAGAAAGGGAATGAGTGAGACAGAAATGTCTCAAAATCTTTTCTGATTTTTGTGCCTCTGTGCCACTAATTAGTTGTGTGACTATGAGGCAGTTATTTCACCTTTTTGGGCCTTAGTTTCTTTACCTTGAAAATGAAAGAATCCAACAAGATGACCCCTATGGCCCATTGCAGCTCTAGCTTTGGTTAAAATAACAGAAGCTTCAGAGTGGGATTAAGATGCTTTGGCTAACTGGAGCTATAAACTTGGCTGGTACTTGGCTTGGTTTTATAAAATTAAAGTTATTTCAGTAACTAATACCTAGCATTTATTCAGCACCTGCTATGTGCCAGGCACTGTGCTGAGTACTTTACAAAATATTATCTGTAGTTATAGTAAGTGGTTTTATTTATGTAGTGTTTTGTACCAAGGTCCCACTTTATCTTAACCTGTTCAAGAAACTAATGATAAATCACTCGTAGTAACCAATGGATTGATGTATCTCTCCAGAAAACTGAAAAGGCAGTATTTTGAAATGTTATTAGAAGACACAATTCATGATCTTTATTTCCTTTTTGCAGATAAAATTAAAAGGAAGCCCAGTTCGGCTGTCAGACAAAAAGCTTTGCCAGATGTGCCAAAGTCCCTTTTGTGAGCCTGTGTTTGTTAGGTATCCGAATGGTGGTGTTGTCCACACTCATTGTGCTGCAAATAGACACACGAACCTTAACTCATCTAGCCCTGGCAATCGGACTTGAAAAAGACACATTTGTACTTGCAAACACTTATTCCTTTGTAAAATGTGCTGGATAAAAAGACCAGAGTACAGCTGCTCTTGACATCAAAATGAAAGAATCATACCCTGGGTGCTGGGAAGGTGTCAGTCGATGTGAAACATGAACATTTAATTGCTGATCTTTTTTATGAATGTAAATGAAAAATACCTTATCATAAATAGAATCATTCAAGAGTGAACTTCTCCTTGTAAATAGTAATCGAAAACAAACGTCTGCTTTCTTCTGAAAGAAAAATGAGCCTTTCCTTTTTCATCAAGGCAAATCGTGGGGGAAACCAGGACTGACAAATTCCTTTCTTTCTTTTAAGGAACATAAATTTGCACTGAAAATATTTGCTATAATGTGACATGATGATGAGGGTGTCTTTTTTTTTTTTTTTGTAAATCCAAGGAAGTGGTCAGTGTTTAGAGATCTTGTTAAATAGAGGGGCTCACACTGTGCCACTCTTTCCAAGATCCTGCATTAATCACGGTCAATATAGCACATCCATGTTTGGGGTCTACATCCACTTTTTCAGGAATAGATCATGAACTATACTTTTGCTTTGAAATTGCTGGCTTTGGGGGGCCACCTCTGTGTTGTTACTGTTCTCTGTTTCCCAACCCATTATTTTGGTTGGCCAGATTTCCACTAAGCACTAACCCTTGGGTTATTTATTTGTTTTTCTGCTCAATGCAATGTGTTCATATCCATTGGAAATGGATAGTCTCTCATAGCTTAAAAAACAAAAAAAAACCTACCTTCAGGACTTAAAAGACAGTGGCAACAATCAAGTCAGTCTACCTGCTTAGTGGCCACGTTTCCATTCCTATGTCCTATAAAAATGTTTCCTCACCCACCAGTATGAAATTCTACAACTAACACGTTGGACTAGGAGATTTTATTTTTAACTTAAATCATATTCACATTGACTTTTTTTGTTTGTTCCTAAATCCTTTTACTTTACTTGGGGTTATTTTTTCTTCATTAACAATTTACCTCTTATCCAGAACTTGGATCATTAAAAGGGAATCACTCAGTGGGGACAAATAGAATGTTGTCTTCATGAGACACCTGTTTTGACCTCATGTATTTGGACAAGTGGTTCAGGAAAGCTGCCTTTGCACAGATGATGGAGAAATACTTTCCCTGATGAGTGCTTTGTCTACTACCACAAGGAAAAAAAAATCCCATAAGGCAGTCCTGCCTCCTGATACGTGCATACTTTTTTAACGTTTATTAATAAAGCGTGAAAATGCTTCTCATTCTCAAAAGATTTGGAATTCATGTTGTGTTTTTGGTATAACATTATTGATCATTTAAAGCCACTATGGTTTCATTGTCCTATTTTAGATTTGTGCTAGGACACAAATTTGTAGTTATAGTTTCTAGTCAGAACTGGCATTCAGGAAAACCAGCCATGCAGCTGTTACTTTCCAAATTCAAGCACTATTTTGCTACCTGTGATAACTTAATGATGCTAAACAGTGCCCTCTATTACTGTTCATCCACTACCGACTTGTGAAGGTTTGCTGTTCAGCCGATTCCCAGTTCCATTACAAATGTTTCCTGTCCTAATTGTAATCTGCTCTTCCTTTCCCCTTTCCCAATTCCAAGTGGGTCAAAAATTAAGTATCACTACATTATTTGGGGGCAAGGGGAATGGTATCATTCTCTCAACTCATTGTGGCTCTGTTATCTGAAGAATAAATTATTAAGAAATTATGCTCTGTAGCTGGACTATATCGGATGTAAATTGATTTGTGATTAATTCAGAACCCGCTCATGAATTTTGCACAGCTGATGACTCTACTGCTTACAGAATGATTATATTATTGCCCATGTTGTAATTACAACTTGTGAGTTTGAATTTATACTCCTTGGAGAATGGACACAAAGATGTGGAACACTGCACCTTTTAAAGTACTCCCTCCACAGGATGAACAGAAGTTTGGATAAGTCTTGGTGATGCTGTCATCCTCCCTTTTCACTGAATGAGCAATAGTCCTGTGAAACTTTAAGCATGCATGAGACAGATAGGAACCAGATTTGGACAATTCTCCATTTCTACCCTATTGGGGTTTTGGCACAAACAGTGGTCTGCCTTGTTGGGCAGAATTATCTTATACGTTGGAAGTAAACCCCTTCCTCTGTCTCCTGGAAGTCCTTTTTCATATTTAATAACTTTTTTAAAAAATGAGGTCCCTCCCAGTAGGGCATCTACTGTTTTGTAATCATGCTACTGTGTAGAACAATTAAAATGTTCATTCAGTCACTCTTGCCACTAGATTTTGCATAACTTTTTGGTTCATTCAGCATTATCTAAACTGTTTACATTAATACTTCGTGGGCAATAATGTGCTATTTTAATGAACTACTTATCTTCCATTGCCTATAAAGTATTAATGTGTATTAAAGGTGTTATGTTTGCAGTAGAGAGAACTTCAAGCTAAAAAGTTGACGTCCATGAGAATAATTAAACATGCTGCTACTTGAAAAGGGGGTGGGGGGCAGGCACAGTTTGTTAGCTGTGGTTTGCGATCACGTTCATGCCTGTATTCTGACAAAGAGAACCCCTGCTTTCTGCTTGTGCTCTGCAGGAAACTTTTATCCTTGCTACTCTGTTTTTTGACTTCTGATTATGTCAGTGCACAGGGCCAGAAATACACAGAATGTACAAATGTAAACATATGGATTTTATTAAAATTCTTCTAATTCTTGGGTTTTTCTCTTAAGTTTTTTTCTTTTTAGTCTTAAAGTAATATTTTTTCCCTGTTATTTGATGTATTCCAAGGAATTTTTCTTGTTTTCATTGTTTTTAAAGCTTTCAATAGTTCTTCCCAGCATTTGTAAAACAGGTAGACCTTTTTAAAAATTATACTACAGACTTATAACTCTTTCTTAAATTCAGATAGATCCTTATACTACTCACTGCCATTAACTGCCTTCAGGTTAGTTCCTCAGTGAAAGGGTCACTTTAAGAAAGGATGTTTGATCTCTCTTATAGTGACCTTTTCTGCCTTTCAACTCTTAACTCTGCCCAGTTAAGCAAGTAAGTTAATGCAGTTCTTGGGTTTCAATAGTGAGCATTTTTCAAAGAGCACAATAATATTCTCTCACTTATAGTAGGGTTCTTTTCTTTAATAAGACCTTAAATCAAAACATAGCACAATGTCTTGAATGAATTTTTACAACTCTTAAAAATGCTTTCAGGTACATTGATCCTCAAAACAATCATGGGACACATGATGAGTCAAATGATGCTTCAGTTGACAAATGAAGAGCTTTTTCTCAGCAAATTTTTATAACAGGCAAGTATCCTGGTTTGACAGATGAGGAAACTGATCCTGACTATCTCTTTATGCTGTATTGTCCCCATTTTGCAGGTGGAGAAACTATAAGCCCTCCACTAAATTCCTCCTATGCTGTTTATGTATGGAGGTGGTCTTGGTAACTTTAAAGCAAGGCTAGCAGCCTGCAGTCTTCAGCAAAGTCTAAAGCTACAAATGCTTTGAATGTGCCAGGCAAGGGAAATCGACTATCATTTTTGTAGCTGCAAGGTGTTGAAATTTTTGGCAATAGCAATCCTCAAAAAGCATTTTCTAAGTCTTAAAGGGGTGATATCTGTGGAAGTGAGGGCTGATAGGTGGTGCAGTAGATGAAACGCTGGACATGTAGGCAAGAAGCCTCATCTTCATGAGGTCAAATCTGGCTTCAGGCACTAGCTGTGTGGCCCAGGGCAAGTCACTTAGCCCTGTTTGCCTCAGTTTCCTCATCTGTAAACCGAACTGGAAAAGGAAATGGCAACCACTCCGGTATCTTTGCCAAGAAAACCCCAAATGGAGTTGAGGAGAATTAGACATAACTGAAACAACTGAACAACAATCTGTGAAAGTAGTTCCTACACCAACACCATCACAGATAACATTAATTTTCATATACGTATATAAACTTTTGAAAAGGCATTTCTGTGTCACTAATGTCCAGAAGTTCAATAACATACGGTTAGTGATATTAATGTTAATGACATTAGTGATCAAAAAGATGTCACAAAAAGAACATCAGAAGACCTGGGTTCGAATCCTTGTTCTTTAGTTTGTTCCTGTGTGACTTGAAACTTTGCCAAGGACTGACTACCTTGGGGGAAGACCAGAAGATAGAAGATCCTGTGAACTTTCAAAAATAGCTTTTGGAGGAGGAAGATAGCAATGTTAGAGGGCTAGTTCAACTTAGTCATTTTATAGATGAGGATGAGCAAGACCCAGAGATATTAAGTTATTTGGCCAAGGATATACAGAGAATAAGTGTCAGAAGACAGATTCCAACCCAGCACCCTTCCTACCTCCTCCCCCTTCCACTTCAAAGTACACAGGCTGATGAGATGCTGTGAATTTTCAGGACAGCACGGAAATCCAAAGTGATGAGAGCAAGAATGTCAATTGAAGTTTTAAATGTGTCTGGTGGTAGAGGCAAGGGTTGGTATCTGAATCAGTTAAATGGGCTGTGACTGGTGTATAAAGTAATTAGATATTAACTAACACCTCATTTACTCTGAGCAAATCTGTCAACCTTAGCATTTAAAATGAAAATGTATGTCAGTAGAGACCATATGGACCAGGAGTCCTTTCACCTTTTTAAAAAAGTTAAATGGCTTCAGTACCATCTAAAAGCTTGTTAACACATTGTTGGGAGACAGGCCACTTGAATTAATGAAGCCCGGTTTTCTATAGATCGCATTCTGAGAAGTGAAATAAACAGCTGTTATTTAGTGCACAGAGTAGGAAATGCCTAAGATGAGTTTCTGTAGCAGTGAGGCTGTACCCTGCACAGCCTGATTTAATAAGCTTCCTGGTCACAGGAGATCAGGCTAGCAAGCCAAAAGGTATTCTGCCTGGATCTCATTCTATGATCTTTAAGACAGTTACGCAAAATTTCTAGGCATCAGGTGCTAATATTTCCCTAGAGTGTGGGCTTTCTGGAAGGACAAAGAACCTTCTCTTCTTTTTGAAACAACTGTCAAGTATTGCCATTAAGGAAACATTTTATTGTCATTTAGATTAATAGTGACTCACACGGCTAACTTGGTCTTTGAGGTGGTAAGTAGAAAGGAACAAAACCAGAAAGAAAAAAAAATATCTACAGCAATCTACAGTAGAAATATATTGAGGCAGTCACATAAGCAACAAGATGACAGACTAGACATTTTCTCTGATCTCTACATTCTCAAACCTCTCTAAAACAGAAATTGCATACCATAGATAAAGCAACTTCAGCTATTTCCATGGTCTTGAGCACCCAGAATCCAAAAGAAGGAAAAAAAACCAAAACACCCAAACCCAGGAACTGATGTTTACGGACCCTGAGTTCACTCAGCAACCCACCCCCTCATCACATGCTACCGGTAACAAAGCAGACCCAAGGACACAAGACTGGCTGGCATTGAACCCCTCCCTTTACCCCATTCCCTCCTCCCTCTTTTCAGTGCAGTGGAGACCCTGGCTCCAGATTGTGGAAATTTGCTCAGGCCTTGACAGCCAGCCTGGCCACAGCCCTTCAGGAGCAAAAGCCTAGCAGGGGCTGAAACCCAGAAGCACTAACACTGCAAAACTCTGAATTGCTGGTAACAGGGAAAGCAAGCTCTGAACTGCTGGTGCTGGTCCAGAGAGCAAAGGGAGTGGGACACGACAGGACTCTGTGCGTGTGGGTAGCTGTGCGGCAGTCCTCTAAGGCAGAGGGAAGGCACACAGCAGCCAGCTGGGACCAGTTTTAACCACCCAAAAGTCAACTGGGGCAGAGACCTAGACTGGTGATCTGTGAATTGCCTAGTATGAGAGGAAGCTGAGATGCTTTGAGATCCAGCCCCAAGGAAACCACGATCAGAGGAAAGGGGAAGGAGCAAGGAAATGAGTGATAAGAAAAATAAGGGAGGAAAATTTATATATATATATATATATATATATATATATATATATATGTGTGTGTGTGTGTGTGTGTGTGTGTGTGTGTGTATTATATATATATATATACACACACACATATACACACACACACACACACACACACACACACATATATATGCAGGTACTAACCTCCTTTCTGTCTCACTGCCTCTTAACCCCCATTTTTTACTATTGTCCTTTTAACTTCAAACAAATCCCACCTTTTAAAAGAAGTCTTTTCTTTTCTCCTTAGCTTGCCTCCATTATTAGTGCCTTTCCTCTGAGATTTCCTTTCATCTACACTATATATATCTCATATATACAATTTTTTTTCCATGTTGTCTCCCCCATTAGAATGTGAGCCCCTTGAGGGCAGGAAGTATTTTTTGTTTTTTGGGGTTTTTGTTTTGCCTGTGTGTGTATGTGTGTGTGTGTGTGTGTGTGTGTGTGTGTGTGTGTCTGACATTTCACACTAGTAACTAGTGTGCTTGGTAATTCATAAATGTTTAATAGATGCTTCTTTTTTTTATTCTTTTTGAAAATCTTATTTAATATTTTGTTTTTTCCCAATTACATGTAAAAATAATTTTAGCATTCTTTTTTTTTTCAAATTTTGAGTTCCAAATTCTCTCCCTCCTCGTTGAGAAGGCAAGCAATTTGACATGGGTTATACATGTGTAGTCATGCAAAACACATTTCCATGTAAGTCATTCTGTGAAAAAAAAAACAGACAAACCCCCCCCCCCAAGAAAAATAAAGAAAGTAAAGAAAAAGTATCATTGATCTGCATTCAGGCTCTACCAGTTCTTTCCCTGGAGAAGGACGGCACCTTTCGTTATAAGTCCTACAAAAATTGTCTTGAATCATTGTATTGCCAAGAACAGCTAAGTTATTTATGGAAGATCATCATACAAAATTGCTATTACTGTGTACAGTGTTCTCCTGGTTCTGCTCACTTCACTTTACATCAGTTCATGTAAGTCTTTCCATAGTTTTTTTCTGAAAGCATCCTGCTCATTTCTGAAATCACAGTAGTATTCCATCACAATTATATACAACAACTTGTTCAGCCATTCCCAAATTGATGGACGTCACTTCAATTTCCAATTCTTTGCTACCATTAAAAGAGCTGCTATAAATACTTTTGTACACATATGTCCTTTTCCTTTTTGCTTTTCATCTCTTTGGGATACAGCCCTAGTAGTGGCATTACTTGGTGAAAATATGTGCATGGTTTTTATAGCCCTTTGAGTATAGTTCCAAATTGCTTTCCAGAATGATTCAATCAGTATACAACTTCACCAGTAGTATATTAGTGTTTTCATTTTCCCACATTGCCTCCAACATTTGTCATTTTCTTTTTCTGTCATATTAGCCAATCTGACAGTTCAGAGTTGTTTTAATTTGCATTTCTCTTGTCAATAGTGATTTAGAGCATTTTTTCCATATGACTATAGATAGTTATGATTACTTTGTCTGAAAACTGCCTGTTTATATCCCTTGACCATTTATCAATTGAGGAATTACTCATTTCTGTAAATTTGATTCAGTTTTCTATATGTTTGAGAAATGAAGTTTTATTACAGAAATACACTATAAAATTTTTTTCACAGTAATGATTACCAACTATGAATTTCTCTCCATCCTATTTCCCCCTGTTTATCCTACTCCCTCTCTCCTTTTATCCTGTCCATTTTCAAAAGTGTTTTGCTTCTGACTTATATCTCCCCCAAACTTCCCTCCCTTCTGTCAGCTCCCCCCACCTTTTCTTAACTCCTTACCT